GGAAGGAAGGAAGGAAGGAAGGAAGGAAGGAAGGAAGGAAGGAAGGAAGGAAGGAAGGAAAAGGCCAGGTCTTGCTTACAAGGAGTGGGAGGTGAAGAGTGTCTGGGGAACTAGAGGAATCTTCTGAGTGAGGGATACATCATTTAGGTCTTAGTTAGGGACCATATTGTCCCAGGGAATAAGCACCAAATCAGCCTCTGATAGGAGACCTGCTCCGCCCAAGGCCCCTTGACACTTGGTGGGTCCTGGGTGAGATTGTGTGAGGTAGGGATCTGCGCCCATCCTGTCTCCTCCTCCCTCTGACTGCCTCCTCCCTCTGGCCTCCTCCTCTTCACAGCCTCCCAGCTATACTGGAGGCAGAGTCTTGGAGGGGACTATGCTGGGGCCAGATTCAGCCTTGTCCTGGAGAAGAGGTATTCTGCTTCAGTGACCAAGTGTTGGGGAATAGAAGCACGCTAAGCTGTAGCAAGCAGCCAGCTCTTATTTGTCCTTACTCCACCTCCAGGGGTTTCAACAAGCTGTAGAGAGAGCAGGCGCTGGGCTGGCCCATGTGTCTTTCCCAGCGTTTGGGAAATGGGGAGCTCTCCTTATCCAGAGGGGCAGGACATCCCAGCTCCTCAGCCACCTGATTCCTACGTCTACCCCCTTTTTGCAGCTTACATCAGGCCACCTGGAGCTCAGTGAGCTGGCTCAGGGGTAGAGGTGGGCACAGGATGTGGGGACTGTTAAATAAAAGGGGCTGCTGGAGAGGGCTGGGATGGCTCTGGATCTGATGGCACTGGTTCCGTTATAGTGAGGTCAGCCGGCGGCGACGGAGATGCCTTGTGCGTTACGGAAGAGGACCTGGTGGGTGATGACGAGGACATGCCGAGCTTCCCGTGCACCCAGAAGGGTAAGGACTCTGGGCTGCCCCTGATCTCCACTCTGGGCTGAGAGATCCCTATCTCCATCCCCAAGCCAGTGACAGATGTGTCTCTTTAGGTGGTTTCAAAAGCCTGGGTGTCCTTTCCGCACTGCTTCCTGGATGGTTAAAGGGCAGAGTTCATGGCCCTGGGCGTGCAGTACCAATGAAGTCAAAGGAGTTTAGAATTTTTTTTCTTAAAGACATGGTTTTGCTGTGTCGCCCAGGCTGGTATGAGTGGTACAACCATAGATCACTGCAGCCTCAAATTCCTGGGCTCAAGTGTTCCTCCCATCTCAGCCTCCCAAATAGCTGTGACTATAGGCGCACACCACCATTCCTGGATGAATTTTTTTATTTTTTGTAGATACAGCGGTCTTGCTATGTTGCCCAGACTGGTCTCAAACTCCTGGTCTCAAGTGATCCGCCTGTCTCAGCCTCCCAAATTGCTGGGTTTACAGGTGTGAGCCACTGCGCTTGGCCTGAAATGAAAGCTTCGCACAAGTGCCCCCTGTCTCCTGGGCTCCTCCTGAGACCCATCAGGGACGTCTGCCATCTCCCAGAGCTACATACTCTGTCCCTGGGGCCCATCTTCTAGCTAGCCCAGAGTTGTCCCCTTCATTGTGTCCCATGCTACCTGAACCGCTGTTTGGAGTGGGGCCCGTCAGTGCTTTGGTGCAGGTTAGAGCAGTTGTTCGCAACCTTAGCTCTTCATTACAGTCACCCATGGATGCATGAGACCAACCCTTGGAAATTCCTATTTGTTTGGCCTGGAGTGGGATCTGGGCATCAGGATTTTTAAGCATCCTAGTACTCAGAATGTGTGGCTACAGTTGAATTCACCTTAGGAATTTGCAGCTGGGCCATCACTGCATTCCTGCTGGGTGTTGGCCACCTGCCCACATATTCAGGAACATCTGGCTCGCTCCTTCCTCCATACCAGTAACTCCACTGGTGGACTGTGACTATTTGTTTGGTTTCCAGTAGAACTTCTGGTTCCCTGAAGAGTATGGGGACTGGTAACCAACATTCTGGTTTACCAGAGACTGAGGGGATTCCCAGGGTTTGGGGCTTTCCATTTTCTTTTTTGTTTTTTAAAATAGAGATGGGATCTTGCTATGTTGCCCAGGCTGGCCTCAAACTCCTGGGCTCAAGTGATCCCCCTGTCTCAGACTCCTAAAGTGCTGGGATTACAGGCATGAGCCACTGCACCCTGAAGACTCAGTTTTAAAACCTAGACAATCTTAGCAAACCAGGATGATTTGCACCATGCTGAGGAGCTCCCGCGACAGGAGACTTTCAGTGCTAAAACCCAGAAGGTCCTGGGCAAGCCCAGACAAGTTGGTCACTCAGTGGAGTCTCAGGCTGGCTGCTCATCTTGTGGGTCATCAGTAGGACCAATGGAGAGGGAAGAGGTGTTGCCCCTCCCCTTGGGCCAAATGAAGATGCCATGGAGAGAGGATGATGGTAGTGATGGGAGCTGTTCTTTGAAGTCCTGACTCGGTCTCCTGCATTCCAGAAAGCACCAGCACCTAGAGAAAGGCGGTAGGACAGGTAGAGAATGAGGGTCGAGAACAGCTCCCCTTCTGAGCCTGGTTTAAATGTGATGAGACAGGCCAGAGCAGGAATATACAACTGACCCTTCAGCTCTGGCCTGAGCCACTGGCCTAAGCCATTGTCTCCTTGTGTGCCCTACAGGCCGGCCAGGGCCCCGCTGCAGCCGCTGCCAGAAGAACTTGTCTTTGCACACATCGGTGAGGATTCTTTACCTCTTCCTGGCCCTGCTCCTGGTGGCTGTGGCTGTGTTGGCCTCTCTGGGTGAGTCCAGGGCTTGCCCACCCCGGGCTGTAGTGGGGTGTCTGGTCAGGGATCCGGCACCAAAAGCTCCCCTGCAAAGACAAACACTTGATATCTGTATCCCAGGGCCCAGAGCCAGCATCTTCCTGGCTAGGGGATTTCTATGCCTAATCCAAACTGCAGACACTGACAACTGATGAGCTCTGTGGTCTTGAGGAAGGTACCCGCCTCCGGGGACCCCTGCTGTCCCCTTGGTGTAATGAGATGATACAACCAGGTCAGTGCTTCTCAGTTTCAGCTCCATGTTACAGCCACCTTGGAGCTTTAAAGAATATCGATGTTGGCCGGGTGCGGTGGCTCAAGCCTGTAATCCCAGCACTCTGGGAGGCCAAGACGGGCGGATCACGAGGTCAGGAGATCAAAACCATCCTGGCGAACACGATGAAACCCCGTCTCTACTAAAAAATACAAAAAACTAGCCGGGCGAGGTGGCGGGCGCCTGTAGTCCCAGCTACTCGGGAGGCTGAGGCAGGAGAATGGTGTAAACCCGGGAGGTGGAGCTTGCAGTGAGCTGAGATCTGGCCACTGCACTCCAGCCTGGGCGACAGAGCGAGACTCCATCTCAGAAAAAAAAAAAGGAATATCGATGTCTGGGCCCCACCCCAATCGTGGAATTAATTCGGTATCTTTCAACTCTCCTGATGGTTCCGTTGTTCACCCAGGATTGAGATCACTGGATTGAGTGACTTCTAAGCCCCCTTCCATGGTCTGTGTGAGTGTTTCTCAAAGTGAGGCTGGATGCCTACTGCAGCAATTTCACCTCCAGTATTTGTTAAAATGCAAATTCCTGGGTCTCCCTCAGCCAGACCTGCTGAGACCAAGGAATCTGGGGGGTCCTGCAGGTAAGACCCAGGGATCTGAGGTTTGATTCTTCTCATACACATTAGGGTTTGTAGTAGTTGACCTAGGTCACAGCACACAGCCAGAGGTAGGTCACTTCTGCCTTCCAGATGCTGACAGATTGTGGTAAACTGGTTACAACAGATTTGGTGTTTGTAATCCCATTTCACTAAGAGTGCTAAGAGTGCAATCCCATTCCACACTTAGCTTCAAACTTTGAAAATCCAGGCTCTGGTAGGTTTGTTTGTTCCAATCTACTAGATTTTAGAAACAAGGCCGGGAGTAGGGAGAGGCAGTTGAGGCTCTGAGGGGGTAACCCCTGCTCTCATGCAGACCCTGAGCCTGAGAACATCCCTAAGGAGAGGCGCCTCGTCCTGGCCCCGGCTGGAGATATTCAGTTACCAGCCTTCTTAGCTTGAAGGCAAGAGGCCAGCATACTAATGATTTGAATAGACACCAAGTCGTCTTCCAGTAATCCGAAGGCATTAATTAATCCAACACAAGCCGAGCACCTGCTCTGTGCCAGGCACTGGGAACACTGAGTTGCGTCAATTACATTTCACCATCAAGGGACGTGGTTCTTCCCTCTTGTCAGGGGATATTGGAATCCCTTGGAAAGCATTTAAAAATACTAGTGCCAGAGTACCCCCCCTCCACTCACTCCAGATGAATTAAATCAAAATCTCTGGGTAGGACCCAGGCCTTAGTCATTTATAAATCCCCTCGAGGGTTCCAATATACAGCTAGATTCAAGGACCAAGGGTTTCAGAACTTCCCAAGCCTCTCACCACCTGTCTCTGCTAAATCAATTTGCAGGGTTTGGCCTTTCAGAAAGTGGCCAAAATCCCAGGTCAGAAGAGGGAAGGAGCCACGGTCTGCCTATCAGAGGCCGCAAACTTGCTGTCAGAGAACTTGTCAAGATTTCTGGCCACCCCTTTTAGGGCCTCAGCTCACAGCACCCAAGGGACCTGGGCCATTATCAAAGCTCCAAGAACCATAGGATCAGGCCCAGAGAAGAGCGTAGGCACTAAAGAGTTTCCGAGAGGACGACAGAATGTGAGACACTGTTACGTGCATAACGTCCATGAGTCAGCCTGGCAGGCCGGAGCAGGAGGTTGGCCCTACTCCTCGCGGGAGGGAACAGTCCTGGGGAGGGGACAAGATTTGCCCCAAGATCCAGAGTGAATGGACAGAGGATCAGAAGAACCGGGGTGAGGCGTGCATGTTTGTGAACCATGGGAAAACTTTGGGTTTCCTTTTTTGTTTTTGCCTCCAGCTTGGGTATCCCAAGTCCCTGGATCAGTATTGGCACCATCCTGGCCTAAATGGCAGGTGCCCAATAATATCTGTTGAAAGAATGACTATAGATTGGTAAAGCATGTGTGTGTGTGTGTGTGTATGGTGTGTGTGTGAGTGTGTGAATAGACTGGTCAATGCTTTACAACCAGGATTGTGACCACAGTCCAGAGGGTTGGGAAAATCAGTCAGCAGACATTACAAACCAACTCTGTTCATTTTAATCAAGTATTTTGTTTTTTAAATCAAGAGCATACAGGAGGCCAAGAACTATATTCTATACTAGGCAGTATACTGCTTAGTAAAACACAGACCCTGCCTTCATGGAGTTTATAATCTAGAGCTGATTATGGCCATATTTTTCTGTAAAAGGCTACATAGTAAATATTTTAGGCTTTTCAGGTTACATACGATCTTTGTCACAACCAGACTCATTGCAGAGCAAAAGCAGCCACAAGCAGTCTGTAAATGAATAGGGGTGGCAACTCCTGTAAATCAGGCATTGGGCTGGATTTCACCTGCAGGCCGTAATTTGCTACCCCCTGGTTTAGATCACTGATCTCTAAACTTTCTTGACCGTGCATCCCATTAGTAAAACATTCATTTGAAATGCATCCAAAAATTTACATGGATTGATGAATGGGTGAAAGAGATGGATGAATATAAAATAAATACGGAAAAATGCTACTTGTAGAATCTAGACGATAGGCACATAGGTCTTCACTGTACAAGTCCTTCTATTGTTTGAGAAATTTTTAAATTAAATGTTGGAAAAGAAAAATTTGATAGAGTCATACCTCAAAAATATACCTATTTATTTATAAGTGATATATAAGTACTATTTGCCATATTGTCTACATTATAAACATAATTTTATAAGGATGAAGAAAAATCATGTCTAAAAAGTAAGTAAAATGGCTTAAAAAGAAATTTATAATGATTAAGCGTGAAATGCACAATGAAGAAATAAGCAAGGCCAGGTGCAGTGGCTCATGTCTGTAACCCCAGCACCTTGGGAGGCCAAGGTGGGAGGATCACTTGAGCTCAGGATTTCGAGGCCAGCCTGGGCAACACAGTGAGACCCCACTCATTTCAATTTAAAAAAAATTGACAATTGACTGGACATGGTGGCATATGCTGGTAGTCCCGACCACTTAAGAGGCTGGGCTGGGATGATCACTTGAGCCCAGGAGATTGAGGCTGCAGTGAGCCCTTTTCACACCACTGCACTCCAGCCTGGGTGACAGAGCAAGACTCCGTCTCACAAAAAAAAAAAAAAGAAAAAAGAAATGAACAGGTGAATGAATTACATGGAGTGGAGTGAGCCTTGGCTGTTGGCTTGGAAGTAGACTTAATGAAGCATAGGAATAGGAATCAAAGTCACCCAATCTCTCTGTATCTTTGTTCATCTATGCATGAAATCTTCATTGTAGGGAGGCTCAAATGGAATAATAACTATTGTAAACTGTAAAGTGCTTGTCTCATGTAACAGCATGTGCTTAATTCCCAAACTCTCTCAACGTGTCGCTGTTACTAATTAAGTAAATCTCCTGACAGCTCTGAGATGTACAGTATTAACTGGAACCTGGAGATTCCAAATAATTTGAAAGCATAGAATTTTGGCGCTGATGAGAGCCTCAGCGTCATCAAGCTCCACATTTTTATTTTACGTGTGATTGAATTGAGCTCAGGAAAGGGTAACTGACTTGACCAAAGTCACCCGACAAATTGTGATGTAAACTAGGACTAGAAGCTGTGTTACTCAGTGCTCTTGGTGGTGCTAATTCTTTCCCCTTGTACTTGATCTTAAGAGGATCTGTGGGAAACATCTTGCTGAACCTCCGAACAACCCATGCCCTTCCTCACTACCAGGCCCATTCAGGCACCCACTGGAAAAAGCCAGGCGTCCTGCTACTGCCAAGATGTGCTCTAACCACTGGCCAACATGGCCCCCTTAGTAGAGTGCAAGGCTGCCCATGGGCTATAAATTGGTATAACCTTTTCTGGGCAGCAATTTGGCAGCTTGTATCAAGGACTTCAAAAATGTTAATACCCTTGGGTCCCATAATTCTACTTTAAGCAATTTATCCCAAGAGAATTATTATATACACACAACCATCATATATAAGGATTATTTCTAGAATTAAGCATTACTTATATTTATATATCAAGTTTTATTTATGAGCTCAGAAGAGGAGGTACTTTAAGTGTCCCCAACAATAGGGGATTCATACATAATTGCTGTATTATTTATATAGAGTGCCATGCAGATACCAAAAGTAATGATGTTAAAGTGATTTAACCCTGGATGGAAAAATATCCGTGACATGATACCGATAAAGCAACATCAAAGAAAGCAGATGAGATATTCAGAACATCCCAGTTTTGCTTTTGTTGCCTAAGAAAGTACAACAGTCCCTGCTTATCCGCAGTTACCCAAGGTCAATTGGCCACATCACAGCTTGATGATCCCCCTTTTGACATACGGTCAAGGAGGTCAGTAGTAGCCCAACACTAAGTCACGATGCCTATGTCATTCACCTCACTGCATCTCTTCACATAGACATGGTGTCATCTCATGTCAGCACAAGAAGAAGGGTGAGTACAGTACAATAAGATATTCTCAGAGACACAGAGACCATATTTACATAACTTTTATTATAGCATATTGTTCTAATAGTTCTATTTTATTATTAGCTGTTGTTAATCTCTTACTAGGCCTAATATATAAATTAAACTTTATCTGAGGTATGTATGTATAGGAAAACACATAGTATGTATAGGGTTCCATACTCTGAGGTTTCGGGCATCCACTGGGGGTCTTGGAATGTATCCCCTGCAAGTAAGGGAAGAGCACTGCATGTATCTGTGTAGCTGAAGAATGGTTATCAATATCAACAAAACTAGAAGAAATACATGAAGACACTGATGGTAGCAATCTATGGGTGGTAGGAATAAGAATAATTTTTAAAAAAATATTTTTTTCTGAATTTACCCTGTTCCATTCTATGATCAGGTCCTATTTCTAAAATGTGGGGTGTGGGGTGAGTGATTATATTTCTACAGGGCCTTGTGGCAAACTCTGGCCATAAGAAGTATCTTCCCTAACCACCATGAAGAAGCCTGAGAGGAGAAGGGTGAAAGGTTTTGGTTGCAGAGGGGCTGATAAACATGCCTTCTCAAGGAATGACTGCTGTTTCTCTGAGCTTAGACCCTGCCCCAGCTTCTCATCTGTTTTCCCTACAGTTTTTAGAAAAGTGGACTCTCTCTCCGAAGACATCTCCTTGACCCAGTCTATTTATGACAAGAAACTTGTGTTAATGCAGAAAAATCTCCAGGGCCTGGGTAAGTAGATGGACTGATGACTGTGATGCAGTGATCATCAAGGTAGGGCAAGGGTGCCCTCCCCACACCACAGTGCCCCAGCACCAAGCAACCTTCACCAGCCTTCTAGGCACAGAGGACATCCCCAGCTCCCTGCTCCCTCCCTAGCTGGTTCGCCATCCCCTGGATGTATTTTTAGTAGAGACGGGGTTTCACCATGTTAGCCAGGATGGTCTCGATCTCCTGACCTCGTGATCTGCCCTCCTCGGCCTCCCAAAGTGCTGGGATTAGAGGTGTGAGCCACCACGCCCAGGGTCTACATATATTCAATCTTGCTCCCACTTATAAGTGAGAGCATGTGGTCTTTGGTTTTCTGTTCTTCCATTAATTTGCTTAGGTCATGCCACAATTCTTGATGTTGTTTATCCCCTGCTTTAATCTGGAACAATCTAAGACAGAATGAGACAGAAGGAACAATGATAGAAGGGTTTACAGGGGTATTCTTCTCTGACTCAAATAGAAGATTCTGGTCTGGCACCAATATACGTGGCTATTTGCCAAGCCACTTCTCTGTGCCTCGTTCCTCTTGAGTCACAAGTCAAAAATCCCTGTGCCACCTTCTCTGCAAATTTATTATTGTAAGAGGATTGAATAAGATAACAGATATACAAATATTGGGAGAAATTTTTAAATCAAGTTTAAATGGGAAGTTCCTGGCCACCTAAGAAAAATTAAGAAGATATGTTCTTGAGAATTTGGTGGTGAGAAGGAGAAAATGTCCTAAATGCTACATTTCAGATCAGAGTCAAGACAGTTGGTAAACATAAGATTCCATAGAGGTGGCAAGGCTTTTCCAAGAAGGGATTCATAACAGGACTTCAGGAAGGAAGCAGGTTTGGGAAGCTACTTACCAATTCCTTATGCTCTGAAATATTTAATTTAAAGAGGAAGCGTCGTACCATGGCCCTTCAGCAACTCAAACTATTGTCCCTTTCCCCTAAAGATCCGAAAGCCCTGAACAACTGCTCTTTCTGCCATGAAGCTGGGCAACTGGGGCCAGAGATCCGAAAACTGCAGGAGGAGCTGGAGGGAATTCAGAAGCTGCTTCTGGCTCAGGAGGTGCAGCTGGACCAGACCTTGCAGGCCCAGGAGGTGCTCTCCACCACCAGCAGGCAGATCTCCCAGGAGATGGGCAGTTGCTCCTTCTCCATCCACCAGGTTAACCAGTCTCTGGGGCTCTTCCTGGCCCAGGTGAGAGGCTGGCAGGCCACCACAGCTGGCCTGGACCTCTCTCTGAAGGACCTCACCCAGGAATGCTACGATGTCAAGGCTGCAATGCACCAGATCAACTTCACCGTGGGGCAGACTTCCGAGTGGATCCATGGGATCCAGCGGAAGACGGATGAGGAGACCCTGACCCTCCAGAAGATTGTCACCGACTGGCAGAACTACACCCGGCTCTTCAGTGGCCTGCGTACCACCTCCACCAAGACCGGAGAGGCAGTCAAGAACATCCAGGCCACCCTGGGGGCCTCCTCACAGCGCATCAGCCAGAACTCCGAGAGCATGCATGACCTGGTACTCCAGGTCATGGGCTTGCAGCTGCAGCTGGATAACATCTCGTCCTTCCTGGACGACCACGAGGAGAACATGCATGATCTTCAGTACCACACCCACTATGCCCAGAACCGCACCGTGGAGAGGTTTGAGTCTCTGGAAGGACGCATGGCTTCTCACGAGATTGAAATTGGCACCATCTTCACCAACATCAATGCCACTGACAGCCACGTGCACAGCATGCTCAAGTACCTGGATGACGTGCGGCTCTCCTGCACGCTGGGCTTCCACACCCATGCCGAGGAGCTCTACTACCTGAACAAGACTGTCTCCATCATGCTGGGCACCACAGACCTGCTCCGGGAGCGCTTCAGCCTGCTCAGTGCCCGGCTGGACCTCAACGTGCGGAACCTCTCCATGATCGTGGAGGAGATGAAGACGGTGGACACGCAGCATGGAGAAATCCTTCGCAACGTCACCATCCTACGAGGTAAGAGCTGGGTCCAGGTAGCACTGCTACAAAGCTTCCACTGAGGCTTGGTGATCTTGCTGGACACAGAAGTACCTGGTTTTAGGCAAAGTACTAGTGGGCTAACACAATCCTATAGCAAGTGCCTAGAGCAATAGGCAGCTTTAAGAAATGTCCTTGCATTAGCCAGGCATGGTGGTGTGTACCTATACTCCTAGCTGCTTGGGAAGCTGAGGCAGAAGGATCACTTGAGCCCAGGAGGTCGAGGCTACAGTGAGCTATGATTGCACCACTGCAGCCTGGGAGACAGAGTGAGTCCTTGTCTGAAAAAAATAAAAAAGAGAGAAAAGGAAAAAAAAGGAAAAGAACATCCTTGCAAACCTCTTTTGTAAAGGTATTATGGCTTCTAACTTTGCCTATTATACAAATCTGGACTTTTATCTTTAGATTTGTTTAACCATGTCCTAATAGAGAAATAAGCAGATCTTGTGTTTTGAAAACTGTCTCCTCTTTTTTTCTCCCTTCCCACCCCCTCATTAATGCTCCCAACCACCCAACCCTCTGCCCTGGAGGCTGTCACTCTGACACACTCTTCTACTCTCATCTGCCTCATGTCTTCCGTATTTATCAAGGTTCTCCAGAGAAACAGAATCAATAGTGTATGAGAGAGAAAGAGAGAGAGATCCACAGAAACAGAATCAATAGTGTAGAGAGAGAGAGACAGACCCAGAGAAACAGAATTAATAGTGTATGAGAGAGAAAGAGAGAGAGACAGAGAGATCCACAGAAACAGATTCAATAGTGTATGAGAGAGAGAGAGAGAGAGATCCACAGAAACAGAATCAATAGTGTATGAGAGAGAGAGAGAGATCCACAGAAACAGAATCAATACTGTAGAGAGAGAGAGATAGACCCAGAGAAACAGAATCAATAGTGTATAGAGATGATAGATAGATAGATAGATCCAGAGAAAAGAATCAATAGTATATAGAGATAGATAGATAGATAGATAGATAGATAGACAGATAGATAGATAGATCCAGAGAAACAGGATCAATAGTGTATAGATAGATGGATAGATATATAGATTGATTGATCCAGAGAAACAGAATCAATAGTGTATAGAGATAGATGATAGATATGATAGAGATAGATAGATAGATAGATAGATAGATAGATAGATAGATAGGATAGAGATAAAGAGCTAGACATGAGATAGATAGATAGATAGATAGATAGATAGATAGATAGACAGACAGATAAATCCAGAGAAACAGAATCAATAGTGTATAGATAGATGGATAGATACATAGATTGATTGATTGATCCAGAGAAACAGAATCAATAGTGTATAGAGATAGGTGATAGACAGATATGATAGAGAGAGAGAGAGATAGGATAGGATAGAGATAAAGCGATAGACATGAGATAGATAGATAGATAGATAGATAGATAGATAGATAGATAGATGATAGAGATAGATCCAGAGAAGTAATCAATAGCATATAGAGATAGATGATAGATAGATAGATAGATAGATAGATAGATAGATAGATAGATCCAGAGAAACAGAATCAATAGTAGAGAGAGAGAGAGGTGATAGAGAGATGATAGATAGATATGAGTTAGATAGATGATAGATATAGATAGGTAGATAGATAGATAGAGAGAGAGAGAGAGAGAGAGAGATAATGATAGAGATAGATGGATAGATGGATATTATAAGGAATTGGCTCCTGTAATTAGAAAGGCTGGCAAGTCCAAAATCTGCAGAGCTGATGTTCGAGTTTGAAGACCATCAGGCAGTAAGAATTCCCTCTTACTTGGGGGAGGCTCAGCTCTTTGTTCTATTCAGGCCTTCAACTGATTAGATGAGCCCGCCTACACAAGGGAGGGCAATCTGCTTGATGCAGGCTACCTATTTAAATGTTAATCTTATCCTAAAGCACCCTCACAAGGAAGGCCCCAGAATTATATTTGACCAAATATCTGACCTAGTCAAAGTGACACATAAAATTAACCATCACAAGCCCACCCCTTGTCAACTTGGCACCTGTGCACATCTCCTTAAACCACACTTAATCTCCAAATAAAGACAACAGTAAGGTCATAATTCCACCTAATGTGATACAACTCTCCTGTGTACAACCAAAAACACACACACACTTTTCCCTGAAGAGGAGTTAAAGTCCTTGAGTGAATTTTATTCTTTTGCTTATACCCTGTAACTTAAATAATATGATGTAAAGTTAACAATATTTAACTATGCTATAAAGTAGATACATGTTATTTTACACAATAAGGGAATAAGAGAAGACAGAAAACAAAATTGTTGGCTATACACACACACAGAGATATATTCATTAAAAAAATAAGGAGGATTGATTACATTCAGAATGTCCGAATGGAGAAATAAAATAAAATATAAGGAGGACATACCATAACCATGACAGTCCTTGTTGCTGTCATTGGTCATATGGTTGTAGCTGGTATTCATCACCACCTTCTTCTATTCCCCATTCTGTATTCCCTTTGTCTTCAGCAAGCCCCTCATCTGGTCCTGGTTCTTTACTTGCTGGGGTGATCTAAACCTTCTCCCCTGAAGGGTCTGGGCTATAGTATTTCTACCTGGGTGGGATTGTTGAATATTCCATTGACCTTAATCACAGGGCTTGGTAATACTGTGGGACACCCCATGGGATCTCCTGTATTCCAGACATCCCCTTCCTTACTTCCATCGTGGAGCAGTAGTCCAATTTCCCCTTGGCAGTCAGGATCCAGTCACCCACACCAGCACAGAAACTCTCTATTTTGCTTGTTGATTCAGAGGCATGAGGAGCCCAAAGTGGCCAGGTGGCAGTCTTAACTTCCTGTTCAATGGAATCATGGTTGTGTCTCCTGGTGGCAGCATTCCTCCGTTTGGAACTAGATCTCTATCTCAGCAGAACATAAGATCATAGGAACAGGAAGCAAAAATTTTCTAGTGGTCACCAGTATGAGAATAAGAATGCCACTGCCATTAACTCACCTTGATTTCTGGACCTGTGAGTCTGACTTTGGGAGAAACACCACTACGTATTGGATGCTAATTGAGAGCATATACAGCCTCCTGGAGAACCATTCCTAAGCCCCGCAAGGTACTGCCACCTAGCTGGTGCTGTAACTGAGTCTTCAAAAGGCCATTCCACTGTTTTATCAAGCCAGCTGCCTCAGGATGGTGGGAACATGATAAGACCAGTGAATTCCATGCCACATTGCCACACTTCGTCTGCTGTGAAGTGAGCTCCTCAGTCAGGAGCAATGCTGTGTGAATACTGTGACTGTGGATAAGGCAGTCTGTGAGTCTACGGAGGGTAGTTTTGACAGAAGCATTGTGTACAGGGAAGGCAAATCTATATCCAGGGCAAGCGTCTATTCTAGTAAAAATATTGCCCTTTCCATGATGGAAATGATCCAGTGTAATCAACCTGCCACCAGGTAGCTGGCAGATTACCCTGGGGAATGGTGCCATGTCAGAGACTCAGTGTTGGTTTCTGCTGCAGCAGAGTGGGCATTAGCAGTGGCTGTAGCTGAGTCAGCCTTGGTGAGTGGAAGTCCATGTTGCTAAGCCCATGGATAACCTCCATCCCTGCCACCATGCACACTTTGTTCATGAGCCCATTGGGCAATGACAGTGGTGGCTGGAGAAGGAGGCTGACTGGTATCCATGGAATAGGTCATGCTATCCACCCGATTATTAAATCCTCTCCTGCTGGGGTCACCCTTTGGTGAGGATTCACGTAGGATGCAAATATCTTCAGTATTTTTGCCTCTTCGGAGAGGCCCGTCCACAGACCTCTTCTGTAAATCTTCTTGTCACCAGTTTTTCAATTGTGTTCCTTCCACGTCCCTGACCATCCAGCCAAACAATTGGCTGCAGCCCATGAATCAGTACATAGTCACACATCTGACCATTTCTCCTTCCAAGTAAAATGAACAATCAGGTTCGCAGCCCAAAGATCTACCCACTGGGAGGCTTTCCCTTTCCCACTCTCCTTCAGGGATGTCTCAGGAAGGGGCTGCAGGGCTGCAGTTGTCCACTTTCAGGTGGTACCTACATATCCTGCAGAACCATCTGTAAACCAGGCCTGAATCTTCTCTTCCTCCACCAACTGATCATATAGAACTCCCCATGAGGCCACAGGTGCAGGCTGGGAGACAGAAGATAGCATAGCAGGAGCGGGACCTCTGGGCATTTGGGCCACTTCTTTATGTAACTTATGTGTGCCTTCAGGGCCTGCTCAGGCCAGATCACATGTATATACCACTTCCATTTGATGATGGAGTATTGCTCTGCACACCCAACTTTATGGATTAGTGGATCAGCCACCACCCAGTTCATGATTGGTGACTCAGACCACTGGTCACTTGGTGGCCCATGGTTAAGTGTTTAGTCTCCACCAAGGCTGAGTAGAAGATCAAGAGCTGTTTCCCAAAAGGAGAGTGGTTATCTGTGGAGAATGGGAGGGCTGCTTCAAAATCCTAAGGGATCGTGCTGTGATTCACCTACAGGGGACTGCCAAGGGCTCCACACAGCATCCTTATCTGCCACTGACTCCTCAAACACCACTGGATCTGCTGGGTCCTATGGCCCAGGCAGCAAAGCAGCCTGCATGGCAGCCTGGACCTGTGGCAGAGCCTTACCCTGTTCCGGGCCTCACTCAAACAAGCTTTTCAGGTCACTTGGCAAATGAGTAGAAATACACACTCCAATGATGAATATGTTACCTCCAAAGTCCAAATCAGCCCAGTAGGCGTTGTGCCTTCTTTTTGGTTTTAGGAGGGGCCTGATGCAACAACTAATCCTCCACCTTAGAAGGGATATCTGTCTCCACATACCCATACCACCCAACCTCTGGAAATTTCACTGAGATGGAAGGCTCTCGAATTTTCATCAAATTTATTTCCTGTCCCCTGACATGGTAACGGAAATCTTCCCACAGTATTTCACCTAAAATATGTATGTGCATGACCTCTAGGGT